ACCAGTCTTTATTGCCAAGAAGTTCAACTGATTCTTCTCTATTTTTAAAGATTTATTTAAGCCGGGCGTTGGTGGTGCACACCTTTAATCCCAGCACTTGGGAGGCAGAGGCAGGCGGATTTCTGAGTTCGAGGCCAGCCTGGTCTACAGAGTGAGTTCCAGGACAGCCAGGGCTACACAGAGAAACCCTGTCTCAAAAAACCAAATAAATAAATAAAGATTTATTTATTAATCCATGAGTTTTTGGCTTACTTGTATGTATGTGTACGATGTATATACCTGGTGCCCAGGGTGTTGGATCCGCCTGCAACACCCTGGTTATGGATGGTTTTGAACTACCATGTGGGTGTTGGGAATTGAACCGGGGTCCTCTGGAAGAGCAGCAAGTGCTCTTAACCACTGAGCCATCTCTCTGGTCCTCAACTGATTTTCAACCCAATTTCTCATCCTGTCTTTCTTCCCTTTATGTGAAATCAGGGAGCAAACATGGCACTCTCCCTGATCTCTCCTTTGCTCACGTGTGTGAGCTGATGTCACACCCTGCTCTTGGGTAGCCTCTCCCCATGCCTAAGGCTTGAGCAGCCTAAGCCAGCCATTCACGTAGTGTCTTTGTGTCCATTTATTCCTACCCTAAGCGCCTAGTATGGGACAGCCCTGTGTCTTTCGCATTGCAGAAGGCACCATATTCTAAAAAAATGAATTATAAAATATCTTGCAAGTGAAAAAAAGGTTAATAGTGGATAGTTGATTATACAATTAGTATTTTACTGTTTGCCTGTAACTTACACAACCTTTTTTTTTTTTTTAAATTATCTTTTATGTGAGTACATTGTGACTCTCTTAGACACACCAGAAGAGGGCACTGGATCCCACTACAGATGGTTGTGAGCCACCATGTGGTTCCTGGGAATTGAACTCAGGACCTCTGGAAGAGCAGTCAGTGCTGAGCCATATCTCCAGCCCCCTTATTTTCTTTAAAGATTAAATTGTAATTACTTTTATGTGTGTGTGTGTGTGTAGGGGGGCATGTGCACACGAATGCAGGTACCCAAGGAACCAAAAGACACTGGATCTTACCCTGGAGAGGGGCAGGAATCTCAGACAATTGTGATCCACCTCATGTTGGGGCCGGGGATCAAACTCAGTTCCTCTCTAAGAGCAGCCCATGATCTAAACCACTAAGGCATCTTTCTCATTTTTCTTCTCAGTGGTATGATCAAACCCAGGGCCTTGCACACACTAGGAAAACATCCTTCCACCAGGCTACACCTCCAGCCCTGTTGCCTGCCATTTAAATAAGTAGCACAGTATGATTAATTGTCCCCAACTGTACTTAATATTTACGGCCACAAAGGCAGCAACCCCAGGACAGGCATCTGCCATGTCTACATCCTGCTGAAGACGGTAACATGAATATTGGCAGGAAAGATTTAAGAGAGCTGACTATATGACCACCACTTTGGGCAGTGAGTTTTAGATTCTTTTAAAAAATAGTTCTTCAAGAAGTGTGGCTAGAATCCCATACCAGATAAAACATCCAGCCAAAAGGAATCAGACTCCACACTTCTCAAGGGCCAGAAATCTAGCCCAATATTCTCTGTTCTTACCAAGAATTAAAGAGCTGTTTGTTGCAGCAGTCTCCAGACACATCTAAGATCAGACCTTTCCAGAAGATTTTGTAACTCTCTATTGAGAAAAGCTAAAGTTTGGCCAAGCTTGGCTGTGGTTCCTGACAGCCTATAAATCTTTCAGGCCCCTCTTCAGCTGCTTAGTACAAACCCCTAATCCTTACCAGAGTGGGTAATTTACATGGAGGTACAACCTGGCTGATTTCTTCTCTGGTTAATAATATTTATGGACTTTGTTGTGTTCAGAAAGCAGCCACTGCATAGGGTAGCTAGAACTGCAACATTTGGCAAAATCTAAGTCTTTGAATGTTATATTTAATGGTTCTATATCTGTTCATTTAGTTACTGCTAAGTTAGAGGCAATTAAATTTTAATGGTTCTTAGTCAGGAATAGTGATGCATGCCTTTAATCCCAGCACTTAGGAGGCAGAGGCAGGTATTGGATTCCCTGGAACTAGGGTTAGAGAATGTTCAGAGTCACTGTTGGGTGCTAGGAACCAAACCCAGGTCCTCTGCAAGAACAACAAGTACTCTTAATGACTGAGCCCCTCAACTAAAAAAAAAGAAAAGAAATTATTTTTATTGTCTTTATTCAAGTGTGTGTGTGAGTGAATGCCACATATGTACAGGTACAGATCCTTTGGAGGTAGAGTTGCAGGCAGCTGCAAGCTACCACGTGGCTGCTGGGAACAGACTTAGATCCTCTGTAAGAACCACTCGAGACTTCCTCTCCCTTCTTATACAAGGTAGGGAAAAAAAACTGTATCTTCACTTATGATTAGCTCAAGCTGAGGACAAAACCACCTGATACACCCCTAAGTTTTCCACAATACCAGGCTCCTCTAAATGTTTTGTTGTCTAAAATTGCTACAACTCTCAGAAGAGAAGAACTGTTAGCTACAAGCTTTAAGTTCCTGATCTATTTCCTTAAGGTGATATACACAGGGAAAACCAGAATACATATATAACTGTTCTTTTACAAAGTACTTCATAGCTGGGCACATATGTGGTAGCACATACCTTTAATCCTAGCACTTGAGAGGCAGAGGCAGGTGGATCTCTGTCAGTTCAAGGCCAGCCTAGTCTACAAATCAAGTTCCAGGACAGCCAAGGCTACACAGAGAAACCCTGGATTGGGGGGTGGAGGGGGACAAATAAACTACCTTACAACCTAAAAGTAATCTTAGACTGGATACGGTGGTACATACCTTTCATAATCCCAGCTGTGGGGCTGTGGGCTGGGGAGGCAGGAGATCAAGAGTTGGAGGTCATCCTCAGCTACTCAGTGGAGTCAGGGCCAGCCTGGGCTATAAGGAGACTGTCTCAAACAAACAGACAGAACTTTAATTATTACTGCCTAATCTTCATTACTTCAAGAAATAGTTAATGGGCTGGAGAGGGGCCCAATGGTTAAGAGCTCATTCTGCTCTTGCAGAGGACCTGAGTTCAAGTCCCAGCAGTCACATCTGGTGGCCTGCAACTGCCTGAAACCCTGTTTGAAGTTTTTTAAACATGGTCTTAAGAAACAAATGACTATTGGCCTACTTCGAACAGACACTCTATTAACACTAGAGACAGAGAGGAGTTCCAGAACCTTCAAGATATTTAGTCTAAATGGCCTGGTTCCTTTGTAAAAAAAAAAAAAAAAAAAAAAAAGAAGCTAAAGACCAGTACAGCTTGAATGCTTTATACTAACGTGGCTTGCAGGAGGCAGAACTGGCTTGGTCAGGTACTGATCCCAGAGGCCTCCCTGCCTCCCACTTCCTCCTACCTAGGCTTTCCATCATTCCTCTGCTTATCCAGGAAGATGGCAGGAATCTATGTGAACTCATCTGAAGAAAACAGCAAAGCTCACGATAAACCTATCAACAACACCGCGGCCACAGCATTTCCTTCAAGAGTGTGAATGAACTAACCTTTCTTACCATTTACTTCAGGCTCCTATTTTTAGCTGAAAGACTTAGGAGACATTCTGAATGTTCTTAAAGAAAGAACAGGACAAGTCAGGCTGAGGAAGCGTTCCTAATGTTCTCTTTCATCGCTATGGCAGCATATGGCCTATTTAATAGACTCCAATTCTGTGACTAGGTTTCCATCCACAGACATGCCCTTTGGTTGAATTATTGGTAAGCTTCTCTTCTTCTCTCCTCTCCTCTTCTCTTTGCTTTCTTCCATTCATTCAATCAATGTCAGCCTAGAGGGAGGAGGGACTCACACTAGATGCATGGGAAGTAGATTTTGCTCCTAATGAGCTCGCTGGAGGGAGACAGAAACATATGCCCATGAAGGAATGTTGTGTGACAAATGGGGACAACTTCCTGAAAAGACGGAATTTGAGTTTCAGAGTGTATGGGGACAGGGACTGAGTGGCCAGAGTGGACACGGAGAGCAGCGAATGTAATAGTAACTGGCTTGAACTTCAGCCTATCAAATGATGTGCCTGCGCAGAATGAATTCTTGGCAACCAAGCACACTACCACCAAATACAGACCTCATTTATGTCACTGAATTCTACAAAGTCAACCCCAGTCCAGCCTTCATCCCTGCTATGCCACTGAACTGGGTTTGTTTTGGTCATCGATGATTCCCACATCGCCAATTCTGTTGGATATCAAACTACTTGGCCTCATGGACCCATTCCAATTTTGGCTGTGTTCTTTGGGAGTTTCCATCTACCTCACCTCTGGTTTACCCAAGGCTTACTCAAACCCTATTTCCCAACTCTAAGTAATACCATCCATTCCTGAAGCTTAAAATTCAAGCCCTGTGTGCACCAAGTCCAAATATGTATGACTCCAAATAGCTTAGCTCTGAGCTTATCATGTCAACTGAATGCCTTCCCGAATACTTCTTCTACCTGGGATTTCTTAGGCACCCCAGACTTAAGTTCAAGAGATAAGTGTTTCAAACACTTCTGTTCAGGTCTTGCTGTGGGCCAGCAAGGGCCCACCCTGCAAGCAGCTAGTCACTGCAGTCAGCTCACCTGTGTCAGGTGGCCAGGCTCTGCCAACAGCTCTGCCTCGGCCTACTTTCCTACTCCTGTCTCCATCACTGACAGGCACCTTGGTAGAGAATACTACCCCTTTGCCCTTAGACAGTTGCCTTGCTGAGTATATTACCTCACAGTGTGATGGTGGAAGCTAAGACCACTGCGCTGTCTTGCTATCAGTCCCTGCTCTGGGGGTAATCATCTGGTCACACATCTGCTCACCTCTACCCTCTCCAGGTACATGTGGGGTTTTGAAGTTAGGTGGGACACCTGACTTTTCTTGTCTTCTGTTCTAATGAGACTAAATTTATTCAACATCCTAGTAAAAGTTTTGATTATAAGTATCAAGAGTATAAAAAGTACAAAATAGATTTACAGATTTTAAAAACATGGAACACTTCACAAATTTGATGGTCATCCTTGCACAGGGCCATGCTAAACATCTCTGCGTCGTTCCAATTTAGTATTTGTGCGGCCGAAGTCAGCACACATGGCTTTATTTGAACAAAGAAACAGGACCAAAGGCTTTAAGAACATGTCATCCTTTTTAATCTTCCCCTGCCATGGCGGCAAGGACGACAGCGGCAGAGTGACAAACACAGAGCCCTGTCTTCAGCTCCCCATGGCTGCACTGAGAATGGCACACCTTACACATCTCACAGGATCAAGCAGCCCTACTGTGTGAAGCTCCTGGGTCCCTTCTGCTCTCATCATGGGCTTATCCTTCTGACCCACAGGTCTATTCATGTTGACCCCCTTGCCGGCTTTAGAACAGGTCACCTTTTAACTCAACATTCCTCACTGAGTTCTGCCCTTCTTAGCCTTCCGTTCTCAGTTTAAAAATGATTTCATAAGTGTCTCTGACTGCAAGCCCTGTCACGGCACCCTGGTCATCTGCTGCACAGCACTCCACAGTGTGTAACACTTCTCTCTGAATGTCTCCGACTGCACTGACGCTAACCACCACCTCCAGGGCTTGCACAGTACCGTAGCACCTTCTACATTGCAACCTCTCATCAAATGCCAGGGAAGTGAACGAGAGAAGTGAAGAAGTGGCTGCAGAAGCTGGGCAGAACCCTATAGCCATCATACCCCAGCACACCAAAGGGACTCAGCATCATGGACGCAGCAGAGCTCTAGGTGTGCAGCAGACAACCGTCACTCTGCAGCACTTGCAAGTTCTACCCTGGCCTGCTAACCTCTTTTCAAACCACTAATGCTCAAGGAAATGCACTGGCTCTGTGTTTTTCCACTACGTATTTCCTGTCTTACATATATTACATTCATGTGTGAATATATTTCAACACCAAAAACATTCTACATTTACAGGATTCCTAGATCCTATTTCTAGAATCTTTTGTTATCTAGGACCAGAGAGGGCAAACGGACGCCACAAATGCAAACTACAGAGAAATCTGGCATTTCACTTTCTTCATGGTCTTTCTTCTCATAGACCCTGATTAGGAAACGGGTCTATGAATCTATCCTATGGAACCTGAGGTCAACCTGTCTTGATTTAATTTATCCTCAGGCACTGTCAACCAAATACCTTGCCAATTACAGAAGGACCCTGAACACCTAGATGGAATCAAACCACCTGACTTCTGACCTCTGACCTTCCAGTGAAAGAATAAGAAGAGCTGGGCATACATCTGGGCACAGGGTCACATCTGTGATCTCAACATTCAGGAGGCAGAGGCAAGAGGATTACAAGTTCAAGACCAGCCTGGGCTATGTGGAGAGTTCAGACCAGCCAGAATTACATAAGAGTTTGTTTCAAACCCCCTCTCCAAAAACAAATAAAGAACTAATCCAGGGACTGCTCAACTCTCTACCCTAGCAGGAGACCACCAACCCAAATCTCTCTTCTAACAACCCAGAAAACAGGGACCAGGCAAGCAGTAATTTACTTGCCTAAGAGAGGCAGTCTTTGATCAAAAAAGTGTTCTTCCCACTACATGTCCCACCTCCCCAGTCAAGAACTGGTAGATACTGTCCTTCAGCATCCGGGTTATAAGTCATAATATTTTCTTTGCTCCACAGCCTAGATAACACTGGGGTAAAAAAAACCCATACACAGTAAAAGCCAAGGAAATCAGGAAGAGCTGTTTTAATTTTCTTTTTAAATCTTTCAAAAGCATATTTTTATCCCAAACCTAAATGAAAACAAACAGCATTAGAATTAGAAAAACTAGGGAGAAAGATAAATGCAGACAACCAACTGTATGAAAAAGGAAATTTGTGAGACTCAGTTTATAAATTTATTAATATGAAACTATAATTTGAAGCCTGTATCTCTAGAAGAAACTTTATTCAATTATTTTTAGTAATGGCATCCAATGGCTCCAATGCTCTGATTTTAAAAAAGATGTCCATTTAAAAAATATTTTAAAACCAGCTCTATTCAGCTGTAAATTCTCTCTTAAGCTCTGACCATAATTCTTGTATTTTATTTGGGAAGAAAAGAACTGTTTCTGATGGCATGAAATGAACATTTTTAAAGTTTTTTTTTTAAACTCTTAGTACAGAATTGTATTTTAAGAACTATTAGTGAGAAACTGATACAGGTAATTAAGTGTGAGACACTAATTTCTGGTCAACTATGGAAATCGGTTTCTTCTCCAGTCCCCCTAAGGGGAAATGTTGCACTGAGTGTCCAACACAATGATCCTTAAATATACTTCTAAGCAAAACAAGGGCTTTGTTTACACAGTCTTTAGATTTTACTATTCTGAATTTTATTCTGAAACTCAAGTTTACCCCAAACCATCATTGACATAGTAGCTTCATCAAGCACAGTAGTATGCAAGTCCTCAAAGCAGCAGCGCAGGCTGGGAGGCCCTTTGTACCCCCAGCTTGGGGGAAATACAATTGGCCACACCCACTCAGCAACAAATCTATCTCATGCTATTCGGGAAGTGTCAGTGTAAGTCCTGACAACGAGACGTGGATTTCTACAGATCTACACATCTCATCTTGATGTCCTGAGGTTGCCAAAGGGACTCCTCACAGCTTAGCTTTGCCCGGCTGAAGCTGAAGGCTCTGCAGCTTCATGGCCAGGCCCATGTTACCAGCAATTTTCAGTTTACCTTGAAAGAAGGCCTGTGGGTGATAAAAAAGGAAAACTCGTTACTTAGTGTGTTGTGTTCAGCACTTGCCAGTGCTTCTAGGCTATCACAAGGCCTGAGATCATCTACTCAGGTCTATAACTTTCTGCAAAATACAGACCTTAGCTTTCTGGAACAGATTTAGGATCAGACCTTGAAAGGAAGAATTCCGAACAACCATGCTTTATGTGAACAGAAGGGAGAAGAATTCTCAAATATCTTCTCCTAAAACTAGGGGCTCTCTACCTTAAATGCCCTGTTCAAATCCTAGGCAGAACACATCGACACTAGATGGATTGTCTTTGTGTGTTACTCCTAAGCCAGGTCTCTTAATCAATCTATCTTTCTCTCTCTCTCTTCCTTCCTTCCTTCCTTCCTTCCTTCCTTCCTTCCTTCCTTCCTTCCTCTCTCTCTTTCTTCCCCTCTGTCCCTCCCTCCGTCCCTCTCTTTCTTTCTTTTTTTTTTTGGTTTTTCGAGACAGGGTTTCTCTGTGTAGCCCTGGCTGTCCTGGAACTCACTCTGTAGACCAGGCTGGACTCAAACTCAGAAATCCACCTGCCTCAGCCTCCCAAGTGCTGGGATTAAAGGTGTGCGCCACCATTGCCCAGCAAATTTTCTTGAAAACATTATATATGGGCTTAAAATCTAAAATGAAAATTCCACCCAAAGGAAGTTTAGATTAAGTAGACCTTTCAGTTAAATGGGCTGCTTGGGGAAAAAACACACTCAAAACACATTTAGAAAATTCAGGGAGTCAATTAGTGGTATCTTGGAACACCACTGTGGCCTTTGCTCCACTCAGCTGTCCCTGAAGAGCTGGTCCCCATTGAGGACAACTTGTGTGTTGAGGAAGATTCTGCTACTCTGGCTCACTGAGAAGCCTCAGCTACTCTGAAGGGCAGAATAGACTGTTCCATTTAACAGGACTGGGGATTAGATCACATGACATTTACTAAATTTACTTTGTAACAAAATCCCAGAGAGACTCAGAGGTAGCAATATGAGGAACTGCTAAGATTTAGTGTCTTAACTCAGTATTTGAAATAAGGAAGAGCTGGATAAGAAAGTTCTTGTAGTTAGATGCAAGCAGCATTGCTGAGTTTTTCCATACCCTGGTAAGGATCACTAATACCCCCAGTCCTCCAGTAGGGACAAACTAAATATTTCCTTTTTATATGGCACAAAGCCTTCTGTCTGACAACTTACAGGTCAGGTATCTCAGAACACAATATATTTAACATATGTTATTTAAAAATACAAACCAGCTGTACAACAGAAATGCACCACCTTCTCCTTTTAAAGCTGCAGGAGAAAATAATGGAGAGAGCGTGCGTGCCATCCGCTGAGGAGCCAAGCCCGAGGACCACGCTAAGCTGGCCCCTTAGGTGTTCTTTGTGCATTTCTGCTGGCAACATCACTGTTTTGTCTCAACTAGAGCCAGACATTGAAATTAGAATTTCCACTTCATTTAATGATTCCCACTCAAATCCTCTACTAAGCATAAGGAAAGGCCATTAGCACATTAACAGAAAGGTCTGCTACTTTAATCTTCAGTTCTTCTGGGTGCGAAGGAAAATAAGCTGACGCCATGACCCCCAAAAACACTTGTTCATAGATAAACTACAGGAGATCAAGGACAGCGGACGGTGACGTGTGAACCTCTAGAGAGCTGTGCAGTGTATGAAGTGTGAACCTCTGCCACAGCTGTGCAGTGAGCACAGAGAATAGGCACGGCAGATGGGATGGGGATGGCAGCCAGCTCCTGTGCTGGTGGCCTCTGTCCCATCCAGGTTTCTGGAGTGGACTGTGGTTGGTAATGTCAGCGCCAGGGCAAGCTTTGCACTGAAGCATCACAGATGCACACTGCTCAGTCACAGTGTGACTTAGGCACACTAAGAAAACCCATTTAAAAGGGAATACAAACAGAAGCCAGGTTTAATTTTGTCCAATCTTGAATTATTTGGGGATACCAGAAACAAAATCTAAACCAGCCAAGACAACAATTATAAGTGGCATTACAATAGAGAGAAACGTCTTGGGCTTCTTTTCTGCTGATGGAAGGCTCAGTGTGTCTAGTCGGGTGCACTCTGTTTATCGAGAAGGACTCCTTGACAACTTGAGGATCAGGAAGAACCATAGGAGGCCCATGTACATTTTAGATAAATACACTTTTAATCCTAACCACTGCTTATAGCAACCTAGAACCATCAGGTATTACGCTGTTCTAGAAACACCCAGAACAGTAAGATGTGACTTGTCTTCTGTGACCCGCAGGATCTAATAGAGGAAGAGACAAAGTCATCACAAGTGCTAAGCTAGGCCACAAGAGGGACTGTACTCAACAAGTCAATGAGTCCTTGAAGGAGGTGACTTGAAAAGTCAGGGAAGGAGAGTTTAGGAGAAAGAAGAGCACAGACATGAAGAGGAGCAGAAGAGCACGTTCACCGACACTTCTTCCTCCCTAGAGTGCTCCCTTCCACCACCCTTGCTAACTCTGTGTGGGAAGCCTTCACTGAGGCCTGTTCTTTCCTCCATGTGGGCTGACCACAAACCAAGGATGACATATTGGATGAGAGAGAGAGAGAGAGTGTGAGAGTGTGAGAGAGAGTGTGTAAGAGAGAGAACACATCAAGGACAGAGGTCAACACAGGGTGTCTTCCTCCTTCCTTAGCCCCATTTTATTCTGTGAAACAGGACCTCTCACTGAAGCCAGAGCTCACCAGCTCGGTAGGCTAACTGGCCAGTGAGTTCCAGGATTCATGTGTCTCTGTCTCCCCAGCACTGAGACTGTAGACATGTACAGCCATGCCGGGTACTAGCGATCCAAACTCAGGTTCTCACACTTGGGCGGCAGGCACTTTATAGGGTAAGCTATGTCCCAAACACCCTGCACTGAACTCTTACAGATCTGTTTCATTCATGCTACGTGTAGGGACTAACTTCAGGCTCCTTTAATACCCAGGATGGTATGGCCCTACAAATATCTGTCTCGTCAGGGTCAGAGCCCCTGGACTCACCGACTGAGGGTTCATTTTACCAGTCATCAAAGCCAGCAGGTCTGAGTCAGCCATGGTGATCGTGCAGTCAGCCTTCTTATCTAAAGCAGCCGCGTGCAGGAGAGAAGGAGAAAGAAAAGAGAGAATGTCAGAGCACAGACACCCAGAGACCACTCCTTCCATGAACAGGTGAAGCAGCATGAGGACGGTGGGCGGGAACACCTCTGTGGCAGTCTGGTAAGACAGGGTAGCCTTGATGTTGTTCAACAGCTCTGTAGCATCCAGTAGGTAAGACAGCAGTGTGTCCTCTCACGGACACAATGTGCTCCACGCTGTCAGGAAGGTGAAGGTAGATGTACTGATCTGAAAAACTGTTAAATTTACGGCAACAATGATACAGAGACAACTATAAAGTAAAACTCAACAAGGATTCCATTTCTGCTCAACAATAGTATTCAACAACAGAAGCAAAGGAAAACCAACTGTCCTCTTAGATTCGGAACTGTTACTGTGGTTGACAGACTCAGGGTGGCCTCATGATCCCTGCTTGCCTTTGCATGATCCCTTGGGCCAGTGTGAGCAGGAGCTGGTTGCTTCAGTCAAAGGAACATAGCAACAGTGCTGGAATGGAATCTCTGGGAGTTACTGTAAAGTAAGTACCCATCTTGGTAGCACACTCACACTTGCTCTCCTGTTGCTCTGAAGCCCTAACTGGTCAATGTGACCTTCCAGAGTGAGGGCTGGGGGTGACTAAAGCTACCAAAGCTGTCATTCTCAGAGTACAGGAAATACACTTTGCCGACAACCTGTGTCAGCCTGGATGCCGAAACCAACCAAACCTCCAGATGGGGCCTGGCCCTGGTCAAGAACTTGGCTGCAATTTTATACAACCTTATGCAGAGAATCAAGCTAGGCTGTCATCAGCTCCTTAACCATTGGAAACATGCCCCCCACACTACGTAGCCCAGGCTAGCCCCAAACTGGGATTACAAACCTAGCTAATGTATATATTCTTTTAAACCATTAAAGTTATGGTAATTTGTTTTGCAAGAAAAAAATTACATAATTACCTAAATATGGAGTTAACCAACATTTTTTTAAATAAAACACCAGACACTAAATATTTTAGGCTTTGAAGGTCACCAGGCCTCTGTCACAATTACACCATTCTGTATAAGGAATCTAAAAAACAGTCACCGGTAACACCCAAATGAGTATCTGGGTGTTTTTGCTTTTGAGTTTGTTTGTTCCATTTGTTTGTTTGTTTATTGATTGATTGATGTGTGTGTGTGTGTGTGTGTTTATGGGTGTGTGTTCACGTGCACACGCACACACACACTCATGCCCGTGTGCAGTCAGACTTGGAGGTAAGTGTCTGTACCACTGAGTTGTCTCACCAGGTTCCAGCACAAGTTTTAAAGCAGTGTCAGCGAGGGGAAGGAGGGGAAGGAGGGGAAGGAGGGGAAGGAGGGGAAGGAGG